AAATACAGAAAGGTTTACGGAAAGTGCAATTTTATTCAATTCCTAAATAATATGTTACAGTAACTATGTTTTTATTCACAATATTCTAGGCAGTATATACAGCCTTCCCTTTAGGGTAACTCACGACAAATGATGCGGTAAAAATTTTCTAAATTGTTTACAGTTGGCAACTGACTTAGTACGTTTCTAGCTATGGGCTTCCTGTGTTTAAGTTCCCAGACCTTCCCGGAAACCGCACGATTTTCATCTGCGCTTTGCCGCACTAAGTTGCATCCTTCGATAGAGCATGGGGAGTTCCTGGGTACGAGAATGATGTCGGAGAGGAATTCAGGTTACCACATGGAATCCCAGGCGAACTTTTACCGACGATGAATTGCATGTAATGAACTTCCAATATTACAAAATAAATCGAAAGAATGATTCATCTATTATATTACAATTAAGAATCATCACGTGGAAATGAGCCTTGATCATTATCGTCCGCGCGCAGATGAAGCCAGACAAACTTATAACTGGAGAAATTATATTCTCTCCACGACGAATTTCGACGAGTCGAGAATGGAGACGGCCAATGTGCAGCGACTTTGTGTAGCAAAATATGATGGTAGTTGTTGTCCTCGTAGTTTTTCAAGTCCGCTATAACAGTGCTTCTGAAATGTTTTTGCCTTTTCTAAGTCAAAATAGATGTTGTTTTGCCTTTTCCGCAATCAAAGCGTAAGAAAGTCTTTAAAGGAGATATTTTAGGGTCTATAATAAGTGTGAGGCCTACAACTACCATCATGCTTTGCTGCACAAAATGGCGTTGCTGCACCTTGTCTATTGGGAGCATTAGACTCGATTCTATACTCGTTCCAGGCTTTTCCATGCGATTCAAACTTCATATCCGATTTCTGTGACACCTGATTCAGCAATCGGTACGAATCTGTCTTCAATCYTGACAAGTAAAATAGTCCTATCCACGTGACTGCGTTGAGTKATATCTCGGTGGCATGGCTGCCATCGATGGACAACAGGTCCTTCAAGCCCTTCCGTTGGYTTCCAGTCTTTCCAGCTATTCTTTCCTCCACGTTCGCGCATGTATTCAGAGGGCCATTGGACATCTATTCTACGTCCAAGGTTTATAGTATCGTATACTTGCAGGGGATCTACGATTCGTACCATTTGACGTAGATCCTCTGAGGGTGAATTAGGGCTTATGGGCTGTGGCTGAGATAGACTCATACCCGAACTAAGTCTCTTTTGAACCGCAATCTGTGGGGGGCCCGCTGAGCGCACACTGGTCCTAAATCCCACAGGGGCTGAAGCAAAGTTCGTTCTTGGTAGCCTTCCGCTGCTGCTCCGAAAAGCAGCCGATCGCGACGGCTCCCGAAAACTGTAACGTTCTGAAAAGACAGCAGAATTGGTGGATACTTCTGGAACTGTGTCGTCCGACGGTTCTCCACCACTGTGACACGAAGCACCACATCTTGCACGTAAGTGATCSCCTACACGGCGWATAAACCCTGTGATGCCATTGAAGCTCATWGGCCCACCGATAATGCTAGAAAGATGACTGTTTGTGTCTGCGTAAGAGGTGGTCAGCGGAGATACATAGATCGGATAGCCTATTGGCTGATCACACGATGAATTGATAATATTTCGTAAAGCTTGTTTAGCATTCTGGATGGAACCTCGTTCTGGATTTCGATTGCGTAAGAATATGAGTTCTTGTAGTTGCCCTGCCCAGAGACCCCTTACGCATTCACGGTTGACCTGGTAAAGAGTAAAAAAAAAAAATCCCCGTGAAATGAATACCACAATATGTCTCACTCGTTTCCAGTCATCCCTGTTTTGCRTGTAATGCATTAAGGGAAGGAGGAAGACAAAAAATGCACTGCCCGCAAAAGCGAGACAGCTGGGAACGACTCAGAAAATATAATTTGAGCGGTAAGAAGGAGAGAACATTTTGGACGTTGTTTCTTCGTTGGATTAAAAAGTTGTTTATATGCTTGACCATGGACGACTTTGAAGACGACCTTCACAGGAACGCACCCCAAAATGTTTATGTAACGAATTTGTAAAACAAAACAAAACGAAACGAAAYAAAAAGACAAATACAACCGAAACAAAACAAAATGATAAAAACAAAGACGCGCTGTGACCCCACGCAAAGACAATAAAACAATCAYTACCTTTATAACTCTAAAGCTCAAATATCGCTTATTCAGCATRATAATCTTGTATTCGTCAGCTCCATCATCAAATACGTGTCTGTAGAAAAAACAACAACAACAACAAACAATTGAAATTACTTGGGAATGTAACAATAGATAGATATCTCTTTGACAACGAATACAAGATTGCGAACCACTCATCGTGTCTGTTGCATGTTAATCCTGAATTAAAACTTGTATCGAGTCAAGAGTCTTCACGACTAAATGTTAGCGGTTTGCTGACGTCACGTATTTACTTCCGCTGGACGGCAAAAGTGCTGGCTCTAGGTACGAGATTTTTGCGTCATTGCGTCGAGACAAATGAAACAACAAACGGCTKCAGAGGAAACTACTAACCTAAGCGCTAGCAAAGATGGTGTGTTAGCCAGCACAGCTTGTCTCCATGCCGGATCACCTTCGTGCGATATAACCATATTTTGTTCGTGGCTTGTAATTGCTTCGTACATCGTAGCATGGTCGTCGTACTCGTCCATGGATGAAAAATGATCCTAAAAAAACGGTGGTTTCATGATATAGATATTTCAATAGGGCATTTGGACGATTAAATTATGTACAATGCTTTGCCCATTTGTAAAGTAAACAGTTGGAGTAAAAGACAGAGGTGCTCTGGGTACGAGAATGGTCCCAAACTCACCTGGTGAAGTTTAAGAGACATGCGCACTCCGGGTGCCACAACTTTTCTAAGAAAATCTACGTCAGCAAAGACCCATTCGTCTTTCTGTGACGTAATGCGAAAATCCCCCTTGAACAGAGCATGAAGGCCATATAGAAACGATTCAAGACTAGAAAAGAATCAATGTGAATTGAAGAACAATATACCATCGCTCATGAGAAATATAACAAATACTAAATCAATCAATCAATCAATCAATGTAACTGCAGTAAATTGGGAACAAGGTCACATGACCCGTTAGTGCGTGAGTGTCACGTTTACCTGGCTGACTGATGTTGTGACGCGGTGCCCAGGGCTCTTCGTGCCAGGAGACACAAAGCAAAGCATAAGGTAACTACCATCGAACTTCGATCAGCTTCGATAGGCTAGACATGGAAATATAAGAGATACTTATGAGAATGAAACGGACTTCACTTGTTTCTCCCCCTTTCAACCGAGGGTGTTGATAAACACGAAAAAATGACTTTAAAATCACGATCGTAGCGAGATACTAAAGATTTTGGTCCTGGGATTCCTGGAATTTGGTACTAAAGATTTTGTTCCTGGAATTCCTGGAATTTGGTCCTGGAATTTGGATTCTTTAATATATATACATTGCCTCTTACCGCGAGAATCGCGTTGAAATAGCTAATGTAAATCATTCTTACCGTCTGCCGTCTTGAGCCACAATACTGTATCCATTCATAATAACACAACAGGAAACTAGTCCGTGAGATACCACCCTGTCTGAGATCATAGTCCTCGTCGATATTGCTATAAAAACACGAATCTAAGTCGACGTGGGAAGCCTCATGCATTGGCGTCAGTGCCTCGCTYAAGACATCATTTCCRATCCAYTGYTCAAGCTTTTCTGATCGCATGGCGTAGAATATCACAGACTAAAAATGAATTATAAATCACGTTGGAGAACAGTATACAAACAAAAGCCAAGTATATTTAGCTATCTTTTTTGCAGTCTGTAGCGCGGGAAGGATAAACCGCGGACCTGGCCTTGTATGCTAAATTCACCAATGATAGCAAATGCTGTCAAATGTTGCTACATTAACCAATGATATCACATGTTGCATTATTGCTACACTGACCAATCACAACACATGTTAAATTGTTGCAGCAATGGCCAATGATATCACATGTTGCATTATTGCTACACTGACCAATCACAATACATATTAAATTTTTGCTACATTAACCAATGATAGAGCGATTTGCATTGGCCAAAGACGTTAGCAATAAGAGAACGTTAATATTGTTGGTAAATTGATTAATCGTACCTTGACATAATAAGTTACTAATATCTTTCTCAAATCAAAGACTTGTAACATTGACGCAGCACTATTATCACTGATGCTGTACCCTTCAATGATGTACTTGGTTGACGCTACTTGCCATGCCAACCACCGCTGACCAAACGCTGCATTCAAGGACAGCATATTGGGCAAATGGCCTGGYTCACAGCAACAACAACCTACACAGAAGATTCTTACAGTCAATTCTCTTTGGCAGCTTGGACACCGTAATGAACTGTCCGTAATAGTGAGTGTCAACTGTAAAAGGAATCGCTTTTCAGGACTTTCTTTAGAGAGGGGATATATTTTGAAAGGAYTGATTTCTAGAGTGTTCTGACATTTCATTTGAATCTGCTTCTCGTTCTTAATCAAAGGCAAAGGTTACACCGGTAAAAGAAGATATGACAGTCCGTAATGTCCATAAGTGTAAAACCTATGTCTGTCGGTCGGTCGGTCCGTATTTACCGTTATCATCCTCAACTCCTTCAGTGATAGCCTCTACTTCACGTTGTTGACAATAGGTACCTGAAAAAAGTGCAAAACAATAAGATGAGCGGCAATAAAAATATATATATGAGTTTTTTTATGTATTTGTTTCTAAGTTCATCAGGTACCGCAGAGATAGTGTTGTGATCTACATGGGGTCGACCACTACTGTCAAAACAAGCTTCTGATTGATCGTGACAACAAAAAACAAAGAATTGTTGGATTATGTCAGACAATACCTATTGTTCTACTGAACATCTTCGTTTTTTGTATTGTCTGTCTCTCTTTGTTATTTCATCCAATCACAATCTTTGTTCTAACAGTAGTGTACACCCCCCCTCTACATTGGTACTGTGCGCATCGCTTTTCACGTACCTCTAAATTCCAGTCCCCTAAGCTGAAACGTRACAAGCCCATTGCCAACCTCTATTATATGGACTAAAGCATTAAGGTAATCTGACGCCAGTACAAAACAGTCTCCTGTTGAGACT